TATATATATATATATATACATGTACTATATTAAGACACTAATACATTTATACACAAGTATACATTTATACTTTATGGCTATTTATATGAGTAAATCTATTATTTTAAATATTTTTTCTCTTCAAACACAAGACTCTCCAATAATCATAATTCATGTATATCAACACTTTTCATCTACAACTGAGTATAAATACATAGATGAGTATTATCTAAAGACACTCATCACTGTTTACTGTGTTCGGTCATGATATTCAGCTCATAATACTTCTGTGAGTTTTACTTGTAGTTTATTCTACTTTGTGGTATTTTTACTTTGACTGGAGTAATACTTCTCATCATGTGTATATTGTACATATTTGTAGTTCTTGTGTTATTTATTTGTGACTGTTTAAATACTTTGTTTGTATTTTTATTTCCTCTTAGTGTTATTTTCTAAACACTAGACACGTTTCTTATGAATACAATACTTCTGGTAATGAACTTTGTTTTTTATTCTCTTCTTTATTAGCAGAAACCGGAAGCTGCCCAGGTGAGTCTCGTGGCCCCAGCAGGCCCCGCCCCCTACTCTTCTCCTCAGGTGCGGCTCATTAAAGAGCGATGAAAGCGGAACAATGGCGTCCGACGGCGCCAAAGTCAAAGAGTGATGATGTCCAGCAGCGGAGTGGAACCAGCAGCTCAGAGCCCGCTGCTCTCCTCCAGGTCTGTACCTGCAAACCGGAAACACACCTTTCTACACCTGTGTTAGAGAGGCGCACGAGACACACGGTGCAGTCACTCAGCGGGTCATCCGGGTCACAGTACCGGGACACGTCGGTAAAAACCACCGGTACCACGTCTTCATCATACTTTTATTCATATTTCTGTTTTATTGAGATTCATTTGAAGGTTATTTTAGTCCTAAAATCTGCAGCTGTTAAACTCAAGAGAAGAAGAGTTCATACATATATAAATACTTTAAACAAAATATATATACGCATATGATGGATAAATGTAATCTGCAGTTCAGCGTTTCTTCACATTAATTAACATGAGTAACAAGGGTCTTTCATAGACCCGGGTTTTGCCTGTCAGGCTCTCTGTGTTGGTTGAGGTTATACCTGCAGGCATTACTCGGGGCTGAAAAACAAGACAATTCTGCAGGATATTCTGACAAATAAAATGATTTATTGTCTTTGTTAGTAATTATTACAAGTAGGTTGTTTTCCTAAAGGAAACAAAGTATTTGTAGTAAATATTGTATATTAGGTTTCTACTCATGAAAACTTTAAATGGTCGGTATATATTAAAAAATCTAGATGGGTTTAAATGCAGGAAATAATGAAATGCCTCGATAAATACTTGTGAAATACTCAAATTGAGGTTTTTCACTTTTTTCACTTTTTCACAGTAAAAGCTCTCCAACTATAGGCTTTTATTGTGATGTAGCAACATGAAGTGATTTAGCTCCTTCTTGTTTTTAGTTTTTGTGTTCATTCACTTTAAATGTTCACGTTAAATTTTAAGTTGCATACATTGTTGCGACGCAAAATGTTTGAGTAACTGTATTTAAAGTTTATCTCAGACTGAAGGAAGCATATCCGTGTAGTCCGGATCGCTTCGTGTAGTCCGGATCGGTCCGGTCAGTGTAATCCGGGTCTACACCCTGTGGTTCCTGTTGACTGAAAGAAGTCATTTTGTTGCTGTTTGGTTTTGATTTCGTCTTTTTAAATCTAAACCTTTTGATGCTTTTACTGAACCTCACAAAGTTCTTCAGTTCGTGTTCTAGTCTTGAACCTGAACCCGGTGTTTCTTTGTGTGGGAACCTCGTTTGATAGACCAGGATGCACCAGGACTGTGGTGGACCGATCCTACATGCCGCCATTTTCTGCTGGTCCGTCCTCTGATGAGACGTTTGTGTTCTCAGCTTCTGTCTCGGCTCGTGGTCGTGTGCAAAGGGCTGGTCGGACGCCATGTGGGACGGCCTCCCCGACCCGCTGCTGACCGCCGCCCCCCGAGGCTCCGCCCCCGAGCCCTGGCTCCTCCCGGGCTGCAGCTCTGTCTTCGACAGTCTGGTCAGGTGAGAGACACGGCGGCAGGATGTCTTGATGACATCACGATGACGTCATCTGTGTGGAAGAAGTACTCTGATCAGTACTCATACCACAGTGTAGAAATACACACAAACATACTTCAGTAAAAGCTAAAGTATTATTGGTAAAGTATTGCCTAAAGTACTGATGTATAAAGTAGCAGACAATGGACCTACTAAAGTAATCAACACAAAGTAAAGTATAGATTCTCTGTATTTATTCCAGCTGATGATTCTTCATTATGACGTCACCTTTTTAATTATGTCATTGTCCTGATGACTCACTCAACTTCTTTTAAAAACCTGGTTTTTCTTCTTCTTCTGGTTTTTGGGTCGTCTTCTTCTTCTTCTTCTCCTCCTCCTCCTCAGTAACGCGTCTCCGGCCCCGTCTCATCCTGCTGTCGGCGGCCTGCGAGGACGAGACCGAGCTGCCAGCAACAAAACCTGCAGGTCCAACTTCTTTATGTAAACAGCAGACGTATGTAGTAGCTTAGCTTAGCATAGTGTAGCTTAGCTTGATGTGGCATACAGACTTCAAAGTTCCTTTAAACCAAAGCACCAGTCTGGTCTAAGCTGGTCTCCCCCCCCCCCCCCCCCCAGGCCGTCCATCTTAGAACGTTGTATCCTTAAAGTGTCCACCAGCAGCGTTGCCGTGGGGACGGACGATCTGGACAACAAGAGGTCAGTGACCACAACTGATGACGTCATGATGCGTTCAGGTGTTTTCTGTATTTTAGAGAATCTCGGATACGTTTCTTTTATACCCTGCAGGTCCCCCTACGACCGGTGCTACCCGGTCCTGCCGGACCCGAACAGCACGGAGACTAACGGGGCGGTTCTGAAGCGCCGGCAGAAACAGATCCAGTACGGAAAGAACACCATCGGGTACCAGAACTACCTGCAGCAGGTCCCCAGGTGAGAGAACACACCTTCACATGTAGCTGTTAGCATGTTAGCATCGATCACACGGTGTACTTCCTGTTTTTCACAATAAAAATGAAATTAAATGCAGCAGAACCCCCAAAAACCAGCCGGCGGGATTAAAAAGCATCTTTTATTTAAACAATGCCGTTGATCACTAAGAGAAGCTGTAAACGCAGTCAGTATTGTCAGATTTTCATCTTTACGATGGTCCCTGAACACATCATGTGTGACGATTGCTTCATCAGAAAAGACGTTAAAAAGAAAGCTTAAAATTGTGATATTCATCAAAATAAGGAGAGAGAGAGACTCAGTTTTGTCAAAAACGAGTAAATAGATGATATGAAGTTACCTCTCATCTAGTGAGGAAAGAGCCTGAAGATGTTCACATCAGGGAGTACAAAGTATAAAATAAATACAATATACATATTTATTGTTTTCATGGTGACGTGATCTGTCCCGTTCATATTTACACCATCTCAAGCCCTCAGTCTCTCACTCACCAGGTGACGTCAGTGAGTCGTGAGGGTTTAGAGGCGTTGGGATTGGGCCAGCGTTACTACAGAATGAATGGCTCCTCCTCCTCAGGCACCTGAGGGACGCTAAGCTCCACCCCTCTACTCCCAACAAGTACCGGAAGTACAGCCGGCGGTCCTGGGACATGCAGGTGCGTCTGTGGAGACGAGCGCTGCACCTGTGGGACCCGCTGAGCGACGGCCAGCCGGACGGAACCAACGCACCGGACCCAGTGGAGCAGCTGTAGGTGGAGCACAATATCAACAAATACTGTAACAACAATAGTCATGATGAATAATATTACAATTAATGGTGATAAATACTATACAAATATAAATAATATTAATAAAAACTATTTAGAATGTAATGATTGAAATTATAACAATATTGATACAATTATAATACAAACTATAATAGTTGTTAATGGTGACTGATGTTTTTCAGTATTTTAAGAAACTCTTCTTCTGGTGTTTTATTTCAGGCAGAACCAGCTGGCGAAGATGACCTCTGACCTGTGTGAGGACGGAGGAGACAAGCAGAGAGAGAAGGAGACTCCAGCAGCCTCTAAAGCCTCCTCTGTGTCTCCTCTGTCTGCTGGGATGTCTCTGGAACTGCCTGGACCCTGGAACGTCCCACTGTCTCTGGTAACACCTGAACATACCCACTGCATTAAGACTCTATCTATCTATCTATCTCTCACACAGGAAATGGAGGTTTTGTTGGGGACTATTTTCAGCAGCGGATGAATCCTCATGTGGTGCTGTAGTTCAGTAAACGGGTTCTTTAACCACCATGTGTTCTGTCAGGAGGCCGAGAGGAACCACAGGACTCTTCGTTCTCCTCCTGGATTCAGCTGCTCCTTCAGGAGGCAGATCACCTCCAGCGACAACGTGACCGACTGGCTCCGCCTCCTGCTGGAGGCCGACCCCGGACCAGGTGAGCTCACAGGTGGAAGGTTCAGAACCAACGCCGCAGTATATAAATCCTCTGGTACACGTAACCTTAGAGTTTTGGTCTGTTTCTCTTCCACATGCTGTGGTAAAAGAGAACCTTTATTTCATGTGTTAATGTGTTCATCACTTGTAGTATAAGCAGAAAAAGGGAATACACAAGTACCTCACAAGTGTACTTAAGTACATGACTAAATGTATTTTACTACTTCATCAGAGGGAAAACAAACATTATAGATGAAGTGATGGAGAAGCCGGAGATGTTCCTCATGCTGTGACTAACTTGACTCGTTCTCCGGTAGACTCTGATGACCAGCAGGTTCCCGTCTTCTCCGAGCAGCTCTCGTGGAACCCGTACTGAACCACCTGAAAGAACGACGGAGGGAGTCCGAGTACAGCTGCTGTGTTTTCTATCGTGCGGTGCGGTTTGTCTTTTTAAGATGCTTCACTAGTTACTTTAACGACAGCAGGGATGTGATTGGTCCTGATCCACGAGGAGGGCTGCGACCTGAAGAGAACCCGAGAGGAACCGCCTCCTCTCAGCTGAACGCTTGACCCGAGCATGGAACTATAGTTTACACTTTATGTCTATTTCTGTTGGAGCACTGTTCACCTGCATGTGTTTAGCTGTAGGAGTCCTGCACTGATGGAGATGCTGTTTGTTTTGTACCTGGAGTCACTTTATTGATCACGTTGTCGCCTCTCTGCAGGCTGTTGTTGTCACTTCATGCTCTGCTGTCTGGATCGGGCTCCAGCTTGTCCTGTCTTCATTGGGGGGGGGGGGGGGGGGGGGGGGGGTTTTGTTTGTGGGTTTTTTTTTTTTTTTTTTTTT